CGCGGGGGGTGTGGGGGGGGGGGGGGGGGGGGCAGATGGTGGCCAAAGTCTTGCTGTGTCAAATGTGTCTCACAACAGTGTTTCTGTATAATTGTTAATGGCTTGTAACCCATCTGTGGTTTTAGCCTCACCCTGTTTGAAGAGTGACATTTCAAAGGCGAAATCAGCTTGGCAAAACATGATTAATTGCTGTACTAATGCTGCTAATGCGTATATAGATGCTAAATCGATAATATGGCAAAAACTTAAAACGGAATAGCTGATAACAAAAAAATGGCAAAATGACGCATGCTCTGATATGACCGAAGTACTCCACGTTTCTCTGTGTTCAAAGTGCACGTGTAAACGTTGAACAGACTAACTGAAACTGGTGAGCCATGACATCAAGCTATAAGGTGAACGGATCCCTGGATCTTTGAAAGTGCATGAAGTAACGTGTGGTTATTACCTTTTTTGTTCAATTTATACAGCATATGCTCCCTCTTGGCAGTGTCATCAGAAGGCACATTGTGAATTTCCATAGTTATGCTATCATACGCAGCTGTCTCCTGATCACACAAGGGCAATGGCTGCTACTTTTAACTGCCTTTTAGACCTTAAATCCTTGACGGCAGTCAACCTCCATTCATGTTCAACATCTTCAGCTTCACAAGGACAAAAGTGATGTTGTAGCCATTGGTCCTGAGGCCCATAAACTTTGAACCAAAGTACAAGCAATATCCTTTTATCACAAGTGAAAAATCTGCATGTTGTTTTAGACTCTGCTGTCACTTGTGTACCGCACATCAAAAATTGAACAAAAATGCTAGAGTTCACCTCACCCCTTTCTCTCTCTCGGGCCAACATGCAGATACTAAAGCATGCTTTAATCACCTGTCCGAATGATTACTGGATTGCCTTGCTTACTCCTCTTCCCCACCCCCAAAGGATTTCAAGCTTACAATTGCCGCAGAACTCAGCAGCGTGTGCCCTGATGAATACAAGAGGGTGGTAGCACATGACAGTAATTTTAAAATCACTGCATTGGCTTCCCATGTGTGTCATGTTTTCTTTTTTTCTGTTATTTTCTATTGCCCCCCCCCCAAGTTATTTTATTCGTTTTAAAATGTCTTAACGATACGGGCACACCAATCGTGCACAATAGGGGTGGCCTATCACTGATCATCATTAAAAAGAGTAACTTGTCATCCCGATTTTTGTCGGTGTTTATTTTTTTTTTCCTTTCCCCATAACCTTTAATTGCTTAATGGATTCTGGCTGCAAATCTTGAGATGCCGTGTTTGACAAAGATTCAAACAATGAAAGTTTTTGTGTCTCAAGGAAACATGGTGGACTGACATTTAACCTAATGTTAAATGGATGGTGTTTTTTTTTTTTTTTTAATTGTGTGCGATAGCGAGTCGGACGATGGTCATTTCACTACAAAGAAGAAAGGCGTGAAAAGAAAAAGAATCAAAGATGAGCCTGCTGATATTCCCACCAGTGACACACAAAAGTAAGTCAATGTCAGCATTCTAAGGTGTTGAGTGTCCTGGAAAGGAAGTAATGACTGACCTTGCTACTGAGAAACTTGCGCAGATTTTAAAACTCGCTTCCTCTAAATAATACATGTAGTTAAGTGTCTCAAAAGTTGTGATGAGGACCTTTATGATGAAACTATGTTGCACCCTTCTGCTGGAGTACAAACAACACTTTGAGTAGAATTTGACACGCTAATGATTGACAGAGAATTATCACTTTTGTGCCACGATGTTAATTGAATGGTACAGGTAGAAAAAGATGGCTGTTAAAAAAAAAAAAAAAACTAATGTGATCGCAATGGGAATCACAGAACTTTGCGATGTTATTGCAATTACAAAAATATGTTTTTTCTGTTGTTGGTAAAAGTAAATGGGGCTTCTCAAAATAAAGTACAACCCCTGTGCTTCCATGGAGTAATGCAATGTATTTGCGGTGTTTATCAGTTGAGTCTTGGGAATCATGGTGACAAGGATGAGACCATCAAAGCAAGAACTGTTGTCAAGCCAAATTACTTTGTACATACAGTACATTGTCGATTTTGTTTTTTTTTCTTCCAGAACTTCCTCCTCAACAAAAAGGTATACCATGATGTCTGTTGAATTATTTAGCCTCATTGGAAGACCATTTAAGATGACCTTTATCTGGATACAGCAGCAAAAATAAGAAAAAGCAACATTCAGTAGAAGAAGAAAATTATGGCGAACCTCTGAAAAAGAACGCTAAGAAAAATAGCGAAACGGTAAATTTGTCTCCCCAGCTTTCACCATCAATAATGTATGAGTTGTAAGAACTGTCAATGCTGGGAATAATTGACTTCACATTTTAAGTGCATTTCTCTGCACAGGATGTGAAGATAGAGGAAGGAGAAAAAACAGTTTCCAAAAAGCCGAAGAAGACAAAGGAGGAGATTAAGGAAGCAAGAGAATTGAAGATCAGACAGAAGGAAGAAGAGGAGCAGAAGCGCTGGCGATGGTTTGGAGATGCTGTTTCTCAACTTGTATTGAACCTGTCCTCATGTTTTATCTCTCTCTCTTTTTGTCTCTCACTCACACACACACTTGAGCAATTACCACTGTCAAGTATATCCTTATATCACACATTGTCAGGTGGGAAGAAGAGAAGTATGAAGCAGGGGTAAAATGGAGGTTTCTGGAACACAAAGGACCCTACTTCCCGCCTAACTACCAGCCCCTACCAGACAATGTTCACTTCCACTACAAAGGTAAGAGATCTGCCCAACAGAATGTGCAAACATTTACTCAAGGAAAATCTCTTAAGAGCAGCATATTATGACCAAAGTGTGTGAGATGGAGCATACGGTCCCATGAAATTAACAAAATAGTAATGTGCTAAGCTGTGTAATATTGTGTAAGTAGGTAGAAAAATCTTAAAATCACATTTCAAATGGACCATGAGCCAATGCAAGTTGGCTCATAATACTGTATGATCAAACTTTCTCATACTTATTATGAGTCTAACTGCAGCATTTTGTACTAACTGCAGACCTTTAATACTAGACACAAGAAGACCAGAGAGCAGTACGTTGCAATAATCAAAGCGAGACCTAACAAACGCATGAATTATGTCTGCATTACTAGCAGATAAAATGGGACGGATCTTAGCGATATTGCAGAGCTAAAAAAAAAAACGCAGTTATATTAATATTCTTAAAGTACATTTGAAATGAGAGTGTTGTGTCAAATATGACATTATTGTTATTATTTTTTTTTTGCTGAATCACATCGGGTAATGGGAAATTTCTCAAGACTCAGAGTGCTGTCCTTAAATAGGTGCCGATGATGAGCAGGGCCGATGATCACTTGTGCTATTGTATAATTTCATAATTTTGTATCAAAATTGCCTCTATTATATCGAATTGTATCGCTGGAAAATGTGACATATCGCTTTGTGTCAAATCATGAGGCCTTATATATGTATTGTATCAGTCAAAAAACAGTACAACCCTACACTGAATCAAACTAAAACCAGTCATTCTACTTTAAAATACAGCAAACCACACGTATTGAGATACGAATTGCATTGTCATTACTGGAGAAATTAGGGTTAGGTACCTTTTCACCTTTGAACCGGTTCAGTTCCAATTCCTACTGTTTGGGATTCAATACCGGTACTCAACGTGACCAATTTTCTGTACTCGCGTGTGCGTGCGTGCGTGTGTGTGTGAGTGAGTGAGTGTAAATTTAATTTCTACCAATTTCTCAATTCAAATAACCACTCATCTTTTTTCTAGGAATTAAATTGTTTTCTTAGTTATTTTGTTTTTCTCTGTACTAGAGCTCATTGCACTTATCGGAACATAACTGTGTAGCTGTCACCTAGTTCACTGTCTCTGTGTGACGTAGCACTTGAAAATAATGGTGGTAGTCCTGCATTGAACTGACATGAAGTGGCAGCAAAGAGTAAGGTTAGTTGATAGGTCTGATTGATACCAAGGTATTTCGTCAATCTTTCAACAAATTTACAATCCATCAGTGTTCCTTCCTAGCTGGGTGTGTGCGCAATTGCACACTCTCGGTGCACAGCACATGTATATAGTGTATCGAAGACAAATTTAGCATTTTAACATGAGCCCTATAAAAGTTGATTTGCCACGTGGTTGACAGACGCAAAGAAGAATGTGTCAAAAATGAGAGAAAATGGTGAACGTGTGGGAGCATTTCAAATTGAAATGCGCACCGTGTCATGTAATCATTGTCACATGGATGCCCACCTAGTCTTAGGTCCAACGCAGATTCTTTACAGTGATATCAATGTTAATGGACACTGTACCTCACTATTATAACATTTCCCCTGTGGAGTGCTTGTCCTCTAATAGCTATATGACTATTGTCAAGCTGTGGCTTAATACCATGGTGACAAGTGCGTTAAACACTTACATTACGGCCGTAACACGTATTGCTCAGGATGTACCCCCCCCCCCCCAAAAAAAAAGAGGTGAAATTGCTCAAACAGTTTGAAAACAAACAAAAATAGTTGTAATGTTTTGGAGAAAAAAAAAGTAATTTGGTGACTCAGCGTTATCCAGTGTTCGTGCTGACCACTTGTTATCAACAATTGAGGGATATTATTGCAACCTGCATATGAAGTGTTGATGATCAATGTGTGGTACTTTACTGAATGCTTGCAGTTCCACTCTGTCTCGCGACGTCATTGCACGAGCCCCAAATCAACACACTTTGGCTGGCTTAGTCCAAGGCTGTCGCTAGTTATTAGGATGACCACGGCAAACATAGTTAGAGCCCCTCCACCCTGTGACTTTTCACCGTAGGAAGATAGTTTAATCTGGATTTGCTTAGGGTGCATGTTTTTGTTTGTATTGTGTTTAGAATGCTGATCTTTGTCCTTGTCCCAGAGCCCCCGTATATAAATTACTGTAAGTGATTAGTCTGACAGGACTCTGGAGTTGTTGGACTTTTGTTGCATGATAAATGTTATTCTTAACGTTACTTGCATTAGGAGTGCTTGTCGAAGTGAATTCAAGGGCTTGGTAATGTAGAATTTATTACTTCTATGTCCATTAAATATAAATAAATCATCTTGCATTGTAACAAGATCATCACATTATTGTTTTTGCTTGTATTTGTGCACAGGTAAGCCAGTGAAGCTCAGCCTGGCAGCTGAGGAAGTGGCTGTGTTCTTTGCTCAGATGTTAGATCATGAATACACTACGAAGAAAGTTTTTCGTGAGAACTTCTTCACTGACTGGAGAAAGGTAAATAGAAATTGGTGATTAAAAGAAAAATGCTACGATGCTATATGAACAACCCTGATGGTATATACCATATTGGCCCGAATATAAGACGGTGTTTTTTTTGCATTGAAATAAGACTGAAAAAGTGGGGGTCGTCTTATATTGGGGGTCTAGACATTCTACCCATTCACAACGCTAGATAGCGTCAGATATCATTGAAGCGAATGCTGAACTTGACTCCCCAGGCCAAAGCGAACCCCTGTCACGAAGAAGAAAAATAAAAACAGCGGTAGCACAAAGAAGAAAAATAAAAAATAACGGTAAGAAAGAAAAGAGAAGAAAATAATAGAAGAGATAACAGAAAATGGAGAAACGTAGCGACAATCTGGAGAAAAGTGGGTCGAAGATCGGCCAGGTTAACCGGCAGCTGAGAAGTTATGATGTCATTTACATTTCAAAAACCAGAAGCCATTCATTTACGAATGTGGTTGCACTTCAGTTTACATATTTAAATGTTCAGATATTAAGATTTGAATGAGGCAAAACAACATGATTTTTCTCTCAAATACAGTATATTGTCATAATCATTTGTTTCAGATGTTCTGTAATTATTTTCTGTATAAAAACTAATTTGGTGTTCAAAGTCTTTTTTTCAAACTTGAGTCTTGAAAAAGAGGTGGTCGTCTTATAATCAGGGCCGTCTTATATTCGGGCCAATACGGTACTATAGAGCAGGGGGTACCAAAGTCCGGTCCTCAAGAGCTACTATGCAGCTTGCTTTAGATGTCCCCCTCCTCAAATACCTCTGATTCAAATGACCAGCATATCGGCAAGTTCTGAGAAGCCTGTCAATGATCCTGATCATTTGAATTAGGTCTGTCTCGAGCACCCAACTTTGGCATCCCCGCTGTTTAGCATTCTTGTAATTCTTGTCCAACTAGCTTATCAGCTTTTGAATAGAGCTTTAATCTAGTATTTTCCCCCCTTTTCGGAAGCTTAAACCCTTAAAACAAATACTTTTAACTGAATAAAATTAATGATTTATAAAAACTTGAATTATAAAAATGTGCATGACATTGTATATGAAATGAGATCCACTGCGTTTATTTTCTAAAAGGGAATATTTTTCCACCTTTTAAATTCTGCGCACAACACTCTATAATCGCAACATGAAAAACGTTGTTTTGAAATAGATGAAAATTGAATAAAGGAAGGCTTCATTAATTTTGCATGTGTGGCTTGATCGGTAGTAATAAGTTTACCTTGGAAAAATGCATCAGCGCTGAAAAATATACCTCTGTATTAATATACTGTATTTTACTTTTATGGCAACATTTTGAACATTCGGTACGTGCACGTCTGGTCCAAAAAGATGTCATTTGTGCATATCACTGCTGGACAACAGACAAACATTTGACAATGAGGAGGACGCAGAGAAAAACAATGCCATAATGCATTGCAAATCTTTGCAAGTGGTAGACTAGAAACAGCAAACAGGATACACACTGGCATGTTATTTCACAGTTTGTTTGTTTTTTTCATTTGTTTTTTTTTTTACCAATTGTGTACAAATTTTGTCAGGCTCCCAGTGTGCATAAGGACAAGCAGATGTGCGCGTGTGTACTCTGAACCTTACATGGACGAGGAGTAATTTACAGTTTGAGATGGGACACACCATGCACGTGACATTAAAAACCAATGCCGTGCTGAGTATTTTTAACAACCCAGAGGTTATGGCTGAGCTCAACTGCCCGAGGGAGGATCTGTGCTTCCTCTCAAACCTTCACCATCTGTAGCGCTTGTGGGGGAATACAAAATGCAAGCGGAGTTCGTGCTCATAAATTAAGCCACCGAGACACTGGACCAAATCAGCACTTTTTGAGCATGCGGGCAAGATAGGACATGGTTCCAGGATTACCCATGCGTGTGTAGCTTTCAATGGAACACCATGCATCTCTTGATACACTCAATGTGTATTCTGTGTTATTAAAAGACCATCCGATGCTGCGCCTTTCACATCAAAAGTGGAATCTCACTCTGTGGAGGTACTTCATAGTATTAGCTGGAAATTATATGGTTTCATCCTTTCGGGGTGAACCCGAGATAGATTTCATTAGCCGTATGTGTGTGTGTATCATTGTGTTTATCTAGTGATGTGGCCAATGAACATGGCTGCCAGATGTATTCTTTTGAAAATAGTTTTTAAAGTTATTAAGTGTACATGAAAAATAATGGTTATATTAATCAATTAACTATGGCTAAAGACCGTATTCCCTCATTGCTCAGTTTAGAGACGCAACCAGCTCTTGGAAGAACTTCTATGGACACATGATGAACTCCTATAGAAACAGCTCAAGGAATATGAATAGAAACAGTAGTATCTTTTTTTTTAGTATTCTTAATTAAAAAAACAAAAAAGAACACTTCATGTTGGTGTTTAGAATTGTGATGGGGAAAATGCATTTATTTGATTTTAGATGAGGGCTGTAACATAAAATATAGAAAAAGTAAAGCGCACGGAATTCCTTTAAGGTACACAACATATTTTCTTAGACTAGAAAAAAAATTTTGCTTTTTGCCTGCTTGTTTTCCAGGTTTGTGTACAATGTATGTTTCAATAAATATTTAAATAATGTGCAAGTAAAACTACCATCATTGACTGGTGTCAGTCAGGGTGTCTTGTGCAGGGAAAATGATGCAAGAAGCCTGTGGGCATATCATGCAGAATTAATTTTGCACTGCTTAGTGTTCAATGCACTTGAAAATATAATTTGTATGAATGCATTGATATGCTAATCCATACAAGTAGCTTCTCTGCATCTGAACAAATCCAATTAAGCTGTTATATTAGAGGCGGAAAAAACTCTTCTCGCTCCACTGCCCTCAGTGCCCACCTCCTGTCGTTTATCAGACATGCTTCGATACGCTTATACTGACTGGATGTCCAGACATCCACGGTGTTTGTGCAAGTCAACACTGGTGAGAGAGTGTTTCTCTATGGGTCAAGTTTTGCATTTTCAAACTCATTTGACCTCCGACAGGGTGCAGTGGCAGTAGTTGTTGACTAAGAGATTAAACTCATTAAAATCCTGTTCCGTGTTGATTGTCATCAATTTTGGAGAAGTCATTTGACATCTGCGAAATACTTTAACCACTTTGTTGCTTTGAAGGAGCCTGACTCACCTGTGGTGAACGGCAGCATGTTCTCCACCGCATACATTGTGGCCAGTTTGAAAAGCTTAGTCGGAGACAAAAGGTGTGCATCGAAAAATCTAACTTCGTTTGTTTTGGTTGCATTGCACTGTCATCTTCTTCGGCTGTGCTGGTGAAAGATGTTTTGAGTCAACTCGCAGAATGATTGTTTGTGTCGGCCCAACTCGTGTGTGTGTGTGACTATCCTTGCTTTGTTTGCACATCATGTGTTTTGGGGGCAGTAACAGGAACAGCCTTGTCACGATTTAAAAAAAGTATTTAATTGGATGAAACGTTCTTGAAAATGTTATATGGACAGAGTCCAGAATTTCAGACATTTTTTTCATTGGTTTGACAGCTTGAGGAATATAAATAGTCCCATATGTTGCCATGACATTTTTTCCCCAACCCTAACTTCTGAAATATTCCACCAAGTGTCCACTCGGAGCAACCATTTATTGATTCCTTTTTAGCAGTTTCTTTGAAGAGATAAACCTTTTGAGCAATAACTTGAAGACTGCCTTTTCTAAAGTCGCTGTCACATTACAGTGTCACAAATGCCATAAATTATAAGGGAAGTGTCAAAGAGGGATCCAAACACAGCCCGTTTCAATCCAATGGCGTTTGCATTGAAATGATGACAACGATAACCACAAATCTGTAAATTTGAGTGAGGCCATGTGACAAGAGTATCGTGTCAAACATTTTTCAACTCGTCGTGCTATTTTTCCCTCCTTGCACTTGGGAGCAAAATGTAACTAACCTTTCACTTGTTCTAGGTGATGACGCAAGAGGAGAGGTTGTTGATTCAAGATCTTGACAAATGTGATTTTGGAGAGATTCATGCAATGCATAAAGCCAAGGTAGAGGAAAAGAGAAACATGAGCAAGGAGGAGAAACTGGTAAGATTGCAGTGTAATATGTGTTGGCATCGGGGACTTTATTAATAGACTGTGTACAGTATTTACTGGCTGTAAAGCGCTGCTCAGCGACCAGCATAAGTTTTGAAAAATGGCACAATGCTTTCATCAATATATTTGTCAATTACATCTCTGAAGTAAAATTATGGCAGATATTGTCATCGCGGTTCAACCTGCACGGAAAACTCCCGTGTCACTCATCCATTAGCAACCGTGGATATGTTCTAGCTGAGTGCAGGGATTTTCACCTGTGGGTTGGGACCCAAAAGAATCACAGCTTGTTTGTACAGGCGAGCCTCAATTTACGATAGTCCCCGCATCCAACAATATAAGGCGCAGTGAAGACATTTGCACAGCGGATCAGCAAGGGATACACAGTTAGCGCTGTACTTGCTGTTTTACATTTGATTGTTCATGGCCTGGAAGTGTTTTCCATATACAGTAATCCCTCGTTTATCGCGGTTAATGGGGACCAAAACCACCCACGAGAAACGAAAATCCGCGCAGTAGCGACCAATTAACATAATTATTATTTTTTTTAAGTCCACAAATGGTCCGCGAGAAGCTGCAAAAGTCAGCAAAACAGCGAGTCACATAGAGCAACATATACAGTACTGTACTCCATGTATATGGATTTTTTTTTTTTTTTAAGTCCTCAAACGGTCCGCGAGAAGCTGCGAAAGTCAGCAAAACAGCGAGTCACATAGAGCAACATATACAGTACTGTACTACTACTTTTTTTTATGAATATGTTTGAAAAAAATCCGCGATGCACTGAAGCCGTGATAAACGAACCGCGAAATAGCGAGGGATCACCGTAGTTATTTGCTGTGATAACTTTACTACTGCTTAAGTGTCGGTTAATAAGATAAGATAAGAAAACCTTTATTAGTCTCACAATGGAGAAATTCCCAATTCACAGCTACAAAGTTATGAAAGGAAGAAGTAGAACAACAAAATGATAGTCTAGGGCACGCTCTGACTTGCATACAAATTCGATTTAGGTTGCCGCTGAAGAATGGAAGTTCGTCGTAAGCCAAGGAATCTTTGTGTAGTAAAATATTTTAGATGCATCATAGATCGTTCTCATCATGAGAAGACATTTTGACAGGCAATGCAATAACACATTTAAAACTAGAGGTGTCAAATTATTGCGTTAATTGCGAATAATTAATTACAGTCCTATTTAGCATGTTATGTTTTTTAATCGCATTAATCTAAATTTTAATCTCTAACTTTATTGTTTCTGTAGGTGAGTTGCCTTTTTCTAATATCCCTTTTTATGTGTTGGTTTCCTGTGTTCGAGTTGTTGAGGGTGGGAAACAACGATCAGTCACAGCCTGAAGTGGACATTGATTGGCTGTCATTATGTCTGGGCTTGTTTAGCATAAACTGATTGGCTCCCGTTGGAGTTGGGCGGGCTAAGAAAGCACCTGTGAGGAGAGGTGAAAATGGAGGAGCATGTGAGAGTTCTCGGCACAATTAATGGACAATTTACATTCCAAAAACTACCTGACGGCACTGTTGATAAAGGTAGAGTGTTGTGCCTAATTTGTAAGAAGGAGTTTGCTTACCACTGAAGCAGCTCAAGTTGAGCCTCCTACCTCAATGCAAAGTACCCAGTCACAAGTGCAGCCACGGCTAACGTTAACACAGAAAGCATTAGCAATAGAGGGAGCCAGAGCAAAGCTCTTCGCCAAACTAAACTCAGAGAACACCCCACATGTGAGGCATGAAGTCAGCATGTGTCCTCTGTAGAATATTAGAAGTGGTTGATATTTATTTCAGCACTTTATTTTCTCATGATGAACAGTGTTATTTCTGAAGTGCTAACTTACAGCACTTTGCTTTAAGGGTCTGGTTTATTTATTATCTGAAGCAAGTTCCGTGTTCAGTACTTGTCTTGCTCAGAAAAGTGTTCTTACTGTTTTTGATATGTTAACCAAAGCATTTTTTATTGACCTGGTGTTCTTGTTTATTTTTAGTAATTATTTGTAGATTTACCAAAACAAAACAGTGATATTCCCCCTGGTGGTTGAAACTAAAGGTTGCAGGTAGGATTTGGGATTAGTCTCAAGTACAGCAGAAAGTAAATGGCTTGGACTGCATCTGTTCAAGTCTGTTTAAAAACAATAAAATACATTTTTTATACCACTTTTTTGTGATGTGAATCTTTTGATCTGCCTCAATGCTCAATAATGTAATGAATTTAAACCAAAAATAGGGGTTTTCTCAGCAATTTTTACATGAGATTAAAATATAGATGAATTAGATCAATTAATTAGATCATAATTAATTAATCTCCCCATTTTTTAAATCTCTTGACAGCACTATTTAAAACAGAAGAAAACAGTGATCATGTTCATCCTTAGTTAAGTGCAGCACAGTGTAGTATAGTTAAAAAATATAATACTCTATTTTTGAACACTATATTTTCTGTATTAACGTCTATAAAAGTAAGTCTTGACTTTGCACCAAAAGGGAAATGCAGTTCCTGGGGTAACAACAGTTGTGAACCACTGGCCGAGTAGATGATGTGTATGCGGCCGTTTTCCTACTTTGCTGCATTGTTTCTGTTGTTACTCATTTCAGTTTCTTTCATTTGGTCTTTGGGTCCGTGTTTAATCCGTTGCAGGTTTTGAAAGAGGCCAGTCAGATGATAGTGGAGGAGTTTGGCTACTGTCTACTAGACCACCACAGAGAACGTATTGGCAACTTCAAGATTGAGCCTCCGGGGCTGTTCAGGGGTCGAGGCGAGCATCCCAAACAAGGCATGCTGAAGAAAAGGATCCAGCCCGAAGATGTCATAATCAACTGCAGCAAGTGAGTGAGAAACAACGTTTATCCACAGATGCGTGACATTGAAGTGATGCAAATGTGAAGCCTGACTTGACACAAAGCTTAGTGATCGTTTTGTCAGCCACGATTCAAAATTTTAAATCTGACTGTCAAGCATCGATCAGGCTTGATCAGATTTAGCGGTAGCCAATGCTGTTCTCTTCCCCTCTGGAAATCAAGTTATTGTGTAGACCTTCGAACAAAGCAAACCCATGATGGAGGTCCGATGTCAAGTGTTATCATTTCTGTCAAATTTGAAAAGATGCACCATACAGTTAAGGTACATTTGTGCTTACTTGCAGTAAAATGCACTTAGGGTACTTGGTGATTCTTTCGTGCTCTGTGTGCCACAGAGAATCCTCCATTCCTGTGCCTCCTGCCGGTCATCACTGGAAGGAAGTTCGACACGACAACTCTGTGACATGGCTGGCCAGTTGGACAGAAAATATCCAGGGGGCCATTAAATATGTCATGCTTAATGCCAACTCCAAACTCAAAGTCAGCAAATTTTTGTGACGTCTGCACAAGTGAACCGTTTGCATTAGTTAGATACAGGATTGTTACATAGTTTTTGTTTTTTTTTAAACTACGACATTCCATCTTAATGTATATATATATTTTTAAATATCAGGGTGAAAAAGACTGGGAGAAATTTGAGGTTGCTCGCAAGCTTAAGACGCATGTGGATGGCATTCGGAAGCAGTACCTTGAGGATATGAAGTCCAGAGAGATGCGCATTCGACAAAGAGCTGTGGCCCTCTACTTCATAGACAAGGTCTGATTTGTTGATTCAATATATGAATCGAGTAATACGCATACCAAGTTCTCCATTACTACACACCATTGAGATGAACCGGTCACACTGGTCTTCACGTCCAGTCTAAATTGAAGACATGTGAGCATATGGAAAATCAATACTTGATAGTCTTGATAACCTTTCCTGCCTCATAAGATGAAATACCTTTTGCAAGGAGTAGACTTGATTAGACGTAACCTTTACTTCTTCCTCCTGTGTTCCCTTCTTAAGGTTCCTTCTCTTTCCTTAATGGCCTTTTAGGAAGCTTTTCCTTGCCCACGCGGGGGTGGGTTTTAGGCCAAGGGAGTCTTGTTAACTGTGGCCATGTGAGTCCCTTTAAGACTCTTGTGATATATACTGTAGATAGACTTGACTTGATGCGCGTGCCCTAAGGTGAGTTGAGTACAATAATCGTGATCCTTTGATTACTCTTGACTCTGCCAAATACTATTTCAACCCATCCATTTTCTCGAGGCTTGCGGCGTTTTGGGGTCACGAAGTATTGGGGAACTAGCTAGGAAATAAACTTGTGCCGTCCGCACAAAAGGCAGTAGCCAACTATATGTGTATTTATCATTGCCAAAACATGAACACAATAGTTTGAGATCTCCAAATGCTACTTCCACATTTTGGCCAGGGGTGGAGTAAATCTTGCATTGGGTGTTAGTCTTGTAAATGTGATAAGCTGTGTGTTGTTGTTGTTTTACTGGCAAACGCTTGTTCTGAATTTGTGTAATGAAGATGAAAGAATGCTTGGTGTAGATTTCATAATGATCTCTGCATCTTTTGACCCAAAAAAGCTGGCGCTGAGAGCTGGTAATGAAAAGGAGGAGGGAGAGACGGCCGACACAGTGGGCTGCTGTTCGCTACGTGTTGAGCACATCACACTCCACAAGCAGCTGGATGGCAAAGATTGTGTAGTGGAATTTGATTTCCTGGGCAAAGATTCCATTCGCTACTACAACAAGGTTCCAGTCATCAGTAAGGTAAAAGAACAAAAGTCAGCTCATCCACAGCTTCTCTCTCTTTCAGCACATGCACACCCACAGACATGCATCTGCAAATTTTCTGATTAAAAGAAATACATCGTGCATCCATGTTTTGGGGTTATATGCCTACTGAAGACTTTGCTGAGTCCCTCACTCTTGCGGTTCTTATGTTCATTGAGGTAAAGTTTTATTATTTTTGACGCCCTACAGATTTTTCATTACAGCTCAGCATCATAACCAGCTCAATAGGCAATTCGGTAATGTTTCTACACCAGATGGTGTTTGTTAGATTCTCCTGAAAAAAAAGTAAACGTGCTATTGCAGATTTGGTATCTGTATTGAGGAATGTTTGCTCCCTGGCATGGAATGTGGGTTTCATAAATACATTTTGCCTTTAATCAGAAAGTCAAGGTTATTTATAAATGGCTTGGTGAAAGTTACATGTATTAATCAGGATGGCCAATCAAATATCTTGGCAGTCTTGGCAATCTGATATCTGTTTCATAGTGTCTGCCCTTCTTCTTGTGTGTGTGTGTGTGTGTGTGTGTGTGTGTGTGTGTGCGTGTGTGTGTGTGCGCGTGCATGTGCGTGTGCTGTGTGTGTGAATGCACGCATGCGCGATTAAATGAGTGTATGCAAAAGCAGTGTACTTGACAGAATTAATTGGTCCCCTGCCTGATAGCAAAACTAATTCCCATGAAATGTGTGAGATTACTAAATGTCACTCTGAATTTTAAACATTTCCATTTGTGAAATGCGCAGGATGGTTGGTATACGTCTGTTTTGCCTTATCGTTGCACTCAGGATTGAAGGATAATGTAATGCAGTGTGAGCTGGGAGCTCAGATGACCTTTTTTTAAATTCGGGAGGTTGTCTTGACACACAAGCTAGAAATTTGAGGATATTTTCATTCATTATATGCAGTTCCGACAACAAAATTTGTCAACATTGTTTTTCTTTCAACAGGTCTTTAAGAATCTTAAGCTTTTCATGGAAAATAAGGACCCTGGAGATGATCTCTTTGACCGCCTCACCGTGAGTGTCTTGATAGCCTCCTATCTCCCCCTGTTTCTGTCAATATTTTAAAGTATTTTTGCTCATTTGTTATCCACAGAGTAACTTAATTACTCTGCTCGTTGGTGGGTTTATAAGAGGGGGTGTTTAACCAACTCAAGAATCCGTTGAATTGGAAAGCAATACTGTATATACTTGTTAACTTGAATAATAACTCCACTTGTATGATGATTGAAGAACTCTTTATTTCGCCACCGCTCACCTTGACCAACAGAACAACAACTAAACTCTCCCCCCAACCCCGTGCTCTCATTCCCCATCGCTGAGGCAGCACTGCCCCCTAGCAGTGTGGTATTGTGAAGGTTATTACTAAAAATAAAACAACAGTACTGAGATGTATGCTCCGGCAGAAGTGTGAGGTGTAAGTTGCATAATTGGATGTAAAGTGGGTTTGTTGCTGTTAAAGTTTTTGATGAGCAGAAGAGACGAATTTGTTTCAGGCTAGGGGTGGAAAAGGAGATCATAAACACTGAGGGTGGTTTGAAGCAAAATGAAACCCTCCACGAAGTGAACATGGCAGGTCGATGAATTTCTACTGAGAAAAATGTATTTTCCGTCTTCGGCAACTAGCTGTAGGCAATGGATTGCAACAGTTTCTCCTCCGCTCGGACACAGAGCTTGTCAGAGTCATTATTTGTCATGTGAAAACACAACCCAGGCTAATAGATTGTCCTCACTGGGATCTCCCGTTAGAGATCGCTACTTGGGGTGCAGTAATGCTGTCAGCCCACAGACAGGTGACCCTGTGTTAAGTGCTTTGATTGTTGAGGGGCATTTTTCTGTCGCGCAACAGGGCTGGAGGTGAGAGCAGATACAACCGTTGAATTGACATTTTGTAGCAAGAGTTGCAGGAAGCTGAAAGAAAATCATTTCGATAAAGCATGAGAGGGTCTGCCGGTCCGCCACCTCCAGCTTGTGGAAAAGGAAAAAGACTTGAAACAGGATTAAATGGGGGGGGAGGGGGGGGGGGCAATTGGCGCCAAAGTTACGCTGCTTCTCCTGCGTAGCCTTCGGCATGTTAGAAAATGTCAGGTTGTGTTGGAGGTGGCATGGTAATGGCTGCTTTGGGCAGATCTGATTGACACGCAGAAAGGCCAGGCCACGCAAAGAGCGGGGGAAGGATAGTGAGGGGAGTGCAGGAATAACAAATGGTATATGATGGCAGGGCTACAGCAGAAAAGAGAGAGGGAATGTCAAAAGGTGAAGAGGAGCTGCAAGTCTGATTGATGACCGTTTATTAGTCTGAGACGTAGCGCCGACTGGATCGGGGTTAATCAAGTTAGATTCCTCTCAACTGCATGCAAGCATAAAATGCAACTCTGGCAGTAGATATTCAAGTTTCTCAAATATATGGCCACATTCTCAATATAACATTATTAAAAGGCAGCTCTGGATTTTGAACAGTAATGGGAATTAAACGACAGAGCACATTGGCTTCTGTGCTTGTTTTCTCGTCTTATAATGATAAATAGCATTGCGGGGAATGTGAGTGCACATACCTCAAAATGTGTGCTTCTAACTGAATTTATGCAGCCTTTGACTTTCCGTACCAGCCCGAGAATGTACTTTGAGCTCAAAATGATGCACATCTCTTAGCCTCCCTTGTAGAGCAACAACACACCACACACAACTCACACTACCGGCACTTAAATACGGATGTTTACTTAGATCTACAATATAGCTTGCCCATCTTTAAAACATTCTGCAGCTATTTTTTTACAATAAGTACTCAGAAAACGACATGGACAAACACACATTTGTACATGCAAGAAATTCTAAGGGGAATTATACTCACCCCTCAGACTCTCCTACGCCTTCATTAGCATGGCCAGTGCAGAGTAGGTCCCTCATTAGCCAGGTAAAGGCTGCCGTAGCTGCGTGCACCATGTTCTTCAACATGCGAATGCACATGGATGCTTACATGTCCATTGACATGCTTGCTCTATTTAATAGGCTCACCTTCATGCAAAAATATGCCCGGGGTCCTGGCCCCGATTTGATTAAACCAAGCGTCATCATTCTTGCAATTTTAATCTGAATAATTTATTCTTTTTGCCAAACCTATAAATGACCCGCAAGTGAATGTTAGCACAGTGGCAATGCCGCCTTTCATCCCTGCTGCCACCAATGGTCGGCTGCTGCCTATGACATGTCAAACTTGTTATGATACCTACAGTGCCAGAGGGTAGAAGGTGTTGTGAACTTTCTGAAATAAGAAATGATGACAACAGCCTAGACGTGGCATCTGTATACCACAGTGCCATCTAGTGGTAGTAAAATGGAATTCCATCTCTTCATATAATGACTGTGCACCTTGTTCTTCCTCTCTTTGTCCTTTTCTATTTGTTCCCATGACAGACCGCCATGCTGAATAAGCATCTGAGTTCCCTCATGCCAGGTCTGACAGCAAAGGTTTTCAGGACATACAATGCCTCCATCACTCTGCAGCAGCAACTCCAAGAACTCACAAATGGTAATTCAAGGTGTTCTAACCACACTATGTAGAAGCTTAACCTTGTATCCGTTGTTTTTTCTCACTGAACGGGTACTAGCAGCCTGGTAATGTCACATTTTGTGTCAAGAATTGGTCACAAGTGGCACAACTGCTCTGAAGATGTGTTCCATCTTGGATACATGCAAATTAACATTTTATACATGCAGCGGTATGAATTAGAAGTTCAAATGTGATTGGGGGCACGCATTTCCCTAAGTTTACGTGGCACTTTCAATCCCTGTGCTCAAAAGAATGCTGATGGCACTCAGCCTTTCCATTTTTGACAGGCTTTCATCCGATGAGGCTTGAGCTTCACAGTTTACCCGAGATACTTCATAGTGGCTTGAACCTGTGTGTGATATATACCCTAGATCAGAGATGGTCCGTAACATGTCAGATGTACTCTGTTGCATTTACGTGAGTTACTTTTTGGAAATATTGTACTTATCAGAGTAGTGCCAATGCAACATTTTTTTCTACTCATACTCAAGTATTTTTATTAGAAAACTCAAATGGGGAAACTCAACTAACATGAACGATAAAGCAGGTAATTAGCTAAGACTATTTACAACCGGTGCTCGGCCTGGTGGGAAGTGAGCGTCAATGGCCAAATGTCATTTCTTTATTTGCAACCTCTGTAAACATTTTACCGCCTCACACAAGAACACTGAGAAAAAGAAACATTTGGAAAAATTAGACGTTCACTCCCCTATGTTGTATCTCATTGCGGCGGCAATTAAAGATGACGTCACGTTATAGGTGTATGTCCCAAATCAGTCGTCTTTCGTGTCTCAATTATTTATATCAAACACATGTCCGGTTTTTGCTTTGTTTTTCCAAGTGCAATTAAATTCAAATATCAACACTTGCTTATGGTTTTATCTTCTCTACCCACCGCTTCCCAAGATAGAAGGGACCTAGTAGACTTTGAGTGTAGTGCTGTGAACTTGTGAATGCTTGTCTGATAGTTGTGAGCAGAGTCATTAAACCAGCAGTCCCCCCCAATCACAGTGCATTTATTGACAGTCAGTGTTCCCCATCAGAACTGTCTCAATGCAAGCTTTTGTTTTGTTGCCCTCCAAAGAGTCCATGGACAGTGACGCGGAGAAATTGCTGTGCTACAATCGAGCCAACAGAGCGGTTGCAATTCTCTGTAACCATCAGCGGGCACCGCCAAAGACTTTTGAGCAGTCTATGGCGAATCTTCAGGCTAAGGTATGTTATGCGGTGGACATGCAAAAGGCATATTGTGTGACACACACACACACACACACACACACACACACACACACACACACACACACACACACACATATACACACACCACCACCACCTTTTCAAGAGAGTCACTCTGGGGACCCATTTTGAAGACATAGACGACATCAAGATGGCTGTAATGACGGACCTCCAAGGCATCTCGGAAGAATCCTTCCAGGAGTGCATGAAGGCGTGACAGAGAAGGCTGGGAAATTGTTCACGATTACCTCAAGGGGAACAATTGCAGTTTGGATTTGAAATGTGTCTTTTCTGTTACACCGGTCCTGGAACGTTGCTGACCCTTATACATCGCAATTGTCTTTATCTCGTTTAATCAGATTGATACAGGAAAGGAGCAGCTGGCGCTTGCCAAGGTGGAGCTGAAGCAAGCTAAAAAGGATGCAAAGGAAAAAGACAACTCAGACCCCAAGCTGCAGATGTAAGTATTTAAAACATCTGAAAGTAGCTCACATATTCTTACATAATTTATGTGACTGCTTAATTACTTATGATAAACTGCATCAAGATGACTTAAAACCAGTGGTGGATGCTGGTCTGTCAAGGAGGGGAAGCTCAATTTTGGCCGACATCATAAAATGTGTCCGTTCATTTATACGTGAATTCTACTCTCCGTTCCTTTTCAAGAAAATTATCTGTGACCCTGTCATACCAACAAGGCGTCTTTTCCAGTGACTTAACTAGTGTCCTACAACTACAATAAAACCCACCAGAAATAAAAGATTAATTTGTCGCTAGTCGTTTTCAACAAAGAGAGTGTCGCTAAGATGATTAGAACTCTCCAGTTCAATTTAGAACAGAATGAGAATTGAAAGATGCTCCCACAGACGCCTCCACTAAAAGATCGGTGATTGGCTCATTTCGCTGTCAATCAAAAAGAGATTCAGCCTCAGACAGATCATCCAATCATCATGCAGTAAAGCTCAGCGTCCGGGCCAGCCGATACACGCCCACTGTCCATAGACTCCCAGAGACGCCGAGCGTCCGGTGGGTGGGACAAAACCAGCATTTATCCAATGACTCATCTCGTTTCAATGCCTTGGGACAACAGGCTCTGAACTCTGGAGATGCCCAGCGTCCGTGCTGTAGACACTCAGTGTCCACACAGTTTAAAGCACGGGGAAGCTGCGGGAATGAATGAGAAGAGAGTCGTGTCGAAGCTGATTCAGAACAAAGGTTGAGCGCGTTGTAGCGCATATTTAGTCAATGACTTGTACACACAATTGTGTGTACACACCAGAGGCGATTGCTCTAAAACTGCAAGGGAAGCTCAGCTTCCCCTAAAATGTCAAAAAATAAGTGATCAAATATATGCGTGTACAGGGTGCGACAGGTTTATTTTAGTACTTTATATATCACAGCCTTGTTTTTTATTTGTATGGCAATAATCAGCTGACTTGGCCTGAAAGTCCATAGTTGTACAGCTCATTCACAAAAATATGATCACTACTGTATTTTTCGGATTATACGTCGCTCCGGATTATAAATCGCACCAGCCATAAAATGCATAATTAAGAAAGAAAAAACATATAAGTCGCAGTGGAGTATAAGTCGCATTTTTGGGGGAAATTTATTTGATAAAATCCAACACCAAAAACATACATGTCATCTTGAGAGGCAATTTAAAATAAAAATAAAACTAGATAACAACAGGCTGAATAAGTGTATGATATGCTAACGTTACATGACGCTTAAACAACGAATTGTGAATGTGCCTGGTATATTCACGTAACATATTGAGTTATTTCGACAACTATAGCACAAAGAACATGCTAACAAATTTACCAACCCATCAGCGTCACTTCAAATCACGAAATCCAATGAAATCTTCATGCTCGGTGTCACTTTTAAACAATTCCGCTAACTCCGGAGGTAGAAGATGCACTGCTTCCTCTTCTACGTCGCTTACGTCAGAGTCATCGTCAGTTGTTTTTCTCAGTTACCGCCAACGTGGAAAGTATCAACACAGGCCGAGAGCACCCTCTTGCAGTTTAATGTGAAATAACATGTGATGTGTACAATGTGTTAACCATTTCACACATAAGTCGCTCCAGAGTATAAGTCGCACCCCCTGCCAAACTATGAAAAAAAAATGCGACTTATACTCCGGAAAATACGGTATTTTAAGAATACTTTATTGATCCCTTAGAGCAGGGAAATTCATTGAGGTCCTGAAAATGAAGTCTTTTTGTGAGTTGTCTCTGATGTGATACTCAAGAGTGGTGGAGAAGAAGGAAGCAGCTGTGAAGCGCTGTAAAGAGAGGATTCTGAAGCTGGAAGTCCAGGCTACGGATCGAGAGGAAAACAAGCAGATTGCACTGGGTACCTCCAAGCTTAACTATTTGGATCCACGTATCAGTGTGGCTTGGTGAGTGCATGAGGCAACCACTCATCTTGATGACAAAATTAATATTGGACAATTTCTTTCTATGTATATTTTTTATACCTTACAATTCACATACAGTGCCTGCAAGACCACAAATTGTTTTTATGTGAGGCTTTGTATTGTTGTTCTTGTTCATTATTAACCCATATACCGACAACGGTTCTAGTTGATGAATCCAGTCTAACTTCTGTAGTTGATAGCATTTGTTAATGAAGCAGAACACAGGTTTGTGTTCAAACACTAGCCGTAAATAACCTCGATAAATTGTATTGGCGTTAGTTTATGATTCACCATGCTAACTGGCTCACCTAATAGCATGTAATGGAGTTCCAATTTGCTTCTGTGAAATGAGTTTTGAAGGAGGTAGTTCTCGAATGCTTTTCATCTTGACAAGACTTTTGGGGCATAGGCATGTTGCGCCTTAAACCCAATACAAAAAGGCTTTGTGTTGTTGGAATATTTGAAAAGAGTATAATCTGATACTTTCTTTTTTGTACTTGTTTCAGGTGCAAAAGAATGGGGGTACCTATTGAAAAAATCTATAATAAGACCCAAAGGGACAAGTTTGCCTGGGCTATTGACATGACAGATATTGACTTTGAATTCTAAGTCTTCACTTGGACAATTGCAATTAAGTGACCTCTGTCATTCTGTTCAGTAGACTTAATGTTGCTTTGATAACATGTTCTCATGCTAGTGTTGTTTTTTGATGCAGCTTTGTAACAGGATCAATGACTGTTTTTTTTCCAACTCTCGACAGGTTTGCTTTGTTTGGCCCTTTACTTTCGTAGATTACTGTTGCATTTTGGTTGTACAGTTTTGTTTGCATTATTTTGAATAAAAGTTAGTGCTGTGCATTGAAGTGCCAAGTGTCTTTCAGTTAAACACCATTTATTTGGATTAACTCTACTGTACAGAGTAAACAGGTATCATGCAATTTGCTTAGTAAAATGGTTTGTTTACAAAAAGCACCTCTTGATTATATTGAAGAGCACCTGGCACCAAATACATACTATGTAACTCAACAGCATTTTATTAAATGTATTTCATAGAAGAAAATCTGTTAAGAGGGAATGCATCTCACGGCTAATGGACAGTGCCTGTCAAATTATGCAGGCGTCAGATGTTAAGTTCCTGTCTTTGAAAGGTATTTCTTTCAACCTATTAGCTTGCAGAGTGACACCATGACAGGCCGGGCAACAGTGTCTCCATCAGCCAGCACCTCATGTTACAAGAATCAATTACAATATAGGACAACACCCCTGCCAGTGCACAAACTGCATTCATTTGTATTTTTTGCACAGCTAAAGTTCTAACGGGCAAAACACACTATTCTATCTCACAAATAACGTTCCATTTGTCTTTAAATCAATACATAACCATTTGTCACCACAGTCAATATATATATAAAAAATATATATCACACAAGTCAATGTCATTTTCAGGATTGGAATTCCGCAGCTCCAGTACATAGGATCAGGCTGTCTCTCTCTGGACCTGTAGAGAACACGGAAGTGTTTACTTCTCGGAAAACATAAACATGACATTACAGAATTGGTCATTCGATTTTTATGCAAATATCACTGTCTGGGGGAGTGCTCAGTAGTATCACAACCTTTCAGGAATTCAGACAAATGCCAGCTTTCTTGAGTTCCCAGACACTGCTTTGTTATATTTTACAGTTCTCTGCTTTAATGTAGTTCCAAGCACCTCATTCGGGTGTTAAAATGGTGTGTCAATCTTAAATTATCTTAGCAATTAGCATTACTTCTCCATCTTGCCTCATAATCCCATGGCAGCAACAGTACTTGTCAGTCTGATTTAATAGTGGGTCAGAATTGGTTTGGCCGCACTTATGGGCCAGCCAAAGTGCATTGCTAGCTCGCAAAACAGATTATTTTATATTGATTTTTGCAAATCAGTCTTCCCCTTGGATTATTTTTATATTTTCAACATTTGGGAAGAATCAGATGCCAGCTGAGCAGAATGGATGAAATCTCTTACCTTCATGATGAGCCTTGACTTTCTTTCGGCTTTTCAGGCATTGCCCCGTTTTCTTCTACGCCGGCCTGGGTCATTAGGTCAGCAATGTTCTTCTCCAGGTCATCAATCCGTGTGCTCATTTCATCAAGTAAAGAAGCAGTTAAGGTAGACTGCATCACTAGCTCTTCAGAGTGGGTAAATTACCGGCTTCATCAAACTGCATTCGTCTCCAAATTAGATGAAAATGTGTGGCTGCAAACAATCAATATGATCACTTGCATAATTAATTATGTTGCGTAAAATAGACAGTAGCTTCACATTCAAACCATTAAGCACATTAGTCAATGAAAATTTGAAATGGCTGGATATTCCTTCCAATGATCTGGTCCGACATGGTCTGGAACTTGTCTTGCATCTGTTGCAGCAAGGTTTGCACCTGGAAAACAATCAATCATTTGAAATGTGGTTTCCAATGTACAGGTCCCGCACCAAAATGGCCATGCTGCGGGTCTGCTGCCAGTTCCTACTCATAGTGATAGTGAAAAAAAGCGCGGAACAACGTGAATGTTTTGTGAGGATGCGCTTTTCGCCTCTGAATCGTTTCCATGGCAATCGTCCGACAAACCCGAATTATGCCATCCACGATCAACAGACACTTTTTCAAAGGTTCAGAATTAAGACAAAATAAACGAAGGTTTACTGTACGAGGTTTACTGAATTTTTTACTTCGGAGACCAATCACAAATTTATAGCACCCGGTGGCCTTAACGTAACGTAATGAATTCGTACGCACGTCAAACATTTGTATACAACTAGCGTGACAATTTAACGTTGAACGTAAAACCCTCGCAAACCAGCTGTTTCTCTCCAATTCAGTTAGCTTCGTTAGCCACGTCGAGCTAAACTGCTGTAGGGAACGTGAGATTGCTCTGAAGGCTTACGACTCACCACATTTGTAAAGTCCTGCACGGTTTTGGGATCTGTCTCAGCCATTATCTGCTGTGAATAAATTAAAAAAAAAACCCTAAAGGTCCCTTTATATTTACACAAAATGAGGATGCCCTTTTGGGAATTGCTAGCAATACGCACAACCCACTGCTCAGTCAGCTGTTCCGCTAAAAGAAGGAACTCGCGCGAGAGTTCAGAACGCCACTCAAAGGAATGTGGGAGTTTGTGTTTTCAAGGAGGGCCATACACAGTAGCGTGTAGTTTTGCTTCGCCTTTGAAGCCTCTGGCTCAGAAAGCGCCGAGGATCTGCTGATAAGCTGTGAAGGCTGACCAGCATCCGTGCTTTGTGCTCCTCGGTATGTTTGATGTACAAACTCATATTGAGACGACAATATTCGGTATTCAGAAAAGGAGCGCGAATATACGTGCGCATGTGGGCGCGTCCCTGCTGCCCTCTTCTCTCCTCCACGAGTTTAGAGTTTCAACTTTGAGGTGTCAAGAAGCTCCGACTTTGATTCTGACGCCACAACTGTCCCAGTGTTTGGCTTCGGTGCAGGAAATTGGATGAAGCCAGCAGGTAAAGCTGAAAGTTGCTCAGCAATACGTTTCTCTCAACCAGTTAAAATTGCTATGTTTCTATTAATGTCAAAAATTAAAAATAAATGACATACTGTTTGAGATACTGTTCATCATATAATCTCGAAACATTATAGCAACCTATTCTGATATTATCATGATGATTTTTGCGCATTGTTGTGAATACTTTTTCTGGACCTCCAAAACGGATAATGTACTACTTACTGCACGTTTTAGGACAGACATGACCCAACCCCATGAAGTTATGCTTTGGTTATGCAACGGAGCTAGACTGTTTCTAGCGGCTCAGTAATTTCAGGTAACTATGCTGCGAAAGAGGTGACTGGACTAGGCTATAGTATATGATTATTTCTGAGTAATGAATAACTCCTGTAAACCCTTTAAAAGTCTGCTTTACAGATTATGGCAGTATGCTGTCAGTGTTGTGCAATGTCTTAATCTGACATCTGTCTTTTGCAATGCCCCCTGTGTTTATGTACAAATGTGTGTGTGTGTGTGTGTGTGTGTGTGTGTGTGTGTGTGTGTGTGTGTGTGTGTGTGTGTGTGTATATGTGTGTTCATTCTTTCATTCATGTACAGGAGGGCTTGCACCAGGAGAACCTGTTTATTGGGTTTTTGTTGTTCTCTAACGTTACAGCTACTTTAAAGCCATATACAGTGTGACATGTCAGACGACGCAGGACCCATTTTGTTCTTTACACCTTGCTGTTCAAGTTAACATTTGTTTTTAGCACTGGGGAGGCAGTCCCAACACGTAAGATGTATAATGCAACTGGCTCAACTCATAAATATCGACAAGAATCTGGTAAATTGCTTTACCTTTAAGGCAAGGTGCTGTATTTTTATTTCTGTTCGTCAGTTAGCAGAGTTATGCAACAAAAAAAAAAAATTGACCATATGTTTCCACAGAACTTTTTTGAAGGACGGCCCACATGGTGAGGAAGAACCCAATACATTTTTATGCAGTTCCAGGTAAAAGCCCATATTTCTGAATACATTTTTACTTTTTCAGTTGCATTGAGGCATTCTCGGCACAGTTCGCGATTACTCAGCAGAGCCAGCAGATAGAGCTATAGAGAAAAACGATTTCTGTGTGCTGTCAGTTGGTGCTGGCTTTGTACTACTCATCACCACTAGCTTCAAGACTGGGGTGTTGCCAGGCATGCTACACATTGACTGTCATCCACATTTCAATTACACCAACAAAGTAAGCAGAGTAATATATTGACAGAGATCCTCAGTTTATAGGAAACGTGCCATAGTCTATCAGTAACTGCCACTAGCACAGTAGTAAAATTGTAATTACTTTAAAACCGCTGCATGCATAAGTTCACTGCGTGCCGTTGATCACCTTGCAACCATGTATTTCGGGGCTGTCATAAACCAAGATCGCATTACATGATACTCACACAAACTGCATGACTTCTGTTTTTTTCAGGTTCCCTGGACACTGCTGATCCCCTCCTAATATGAGGAATTCTCAGGTAGTTCTGCAGGAGGAAGAAACTGAAGGCTTGAGGATGCTGTTGTCTTGGCTGGCGTCCTGCCTCATGGTGATTGGGGTTGCCCTGCCTTACGTGCCCCAGTACCAGGAGATCCAGAGAAGCAGCAACACTGAGGGCTTCTCTACCAGAGTGTGTCTGGTCTTGCTCATCGCCAACATCCTGCGAATCTTCTTCTGGTAAGGAATATGACATCTTTGCAATTTTAATGAAAGTATTTTACTAGCGAAGATGGAAATAAATCGAATAAAAAGAGGATAAACTTCCATCCACCCACCCATATATCCATTTTCCAAACCGCTTTATCCTCACAAGGGCCGCAGAAGGTGCTGGAGCCTATCCCAGCCGTCTTCGGGCAGTAGGCAGGGGACACCCTGAACTGCTTGCCAGCCAATCGCAGGGCACACAGAGACGAACAACCATCCGCGCTCACCCTCACACCTAGGGACAATTTTGAGTGTTCAATCAGCCTGCCATGCATGTTTTTGGAATGTGGGAGGAAACCGGAGTACCCGGAGAAAACCCACGCAGGGCCAGGGAGAGCGTGCAAACTCCACACTGTGAGGTCGACGCGCTAACCACTGGACCACTGAGCCGCCCAGGATAAACTTAAATTGACTAATTAAACTTCAAAAAATAAACCTAACCTGAATTTACTTTCGTAAGTTTGGCGTATGCTAATATAAAGGCAAATAAACCATGAATTAATATTAAAGACAGTGTGGAAATTGTAGAACTCGAAGAAAGCGACAATTTCTCACGTGCGCACCCCGAGAGAGAGTGTGTTGTGTTTTTTTATTAGCACACCAAAAAAAACACTCGCGCCAAACGAAGCCCGCCGAAAGTCAGTTTCCATAGAAACAAGCAGACTAAAATGGCGGTCCTTAAAGGGACTGCAATTATTTCTACCCCGTTACCAAATAATCGTGAACTCTCTGACAAGCATATGAACATTGCATTCACACATTTGCAGTTGGTGGTGAATTATGTACATAGAAGTCACTACAACAGTTTATTTACAGGTATATATTTCAGTTGGAGATGTTAACATACTCAACACTTTGACTTGACAGTCTTTTCAGTGTTCATGACCACAGCTTCACAAAAATAAACCAAGCAAGTGTGGCATAAACCTAAGACAGGAGGTTCTATACTTGATGAAATGGGAGCCCACATGTAAGCGGAGCTTTGGCAAAAGGTCCCGTTTGCCAGATAGCTATCCAGCCTTGACCCCAGGTGGCCACACACTGATCCAGGCAGAAGCTCAGGATTTCACAGTTCACATTGTCAAATGGAGTCACTGATGGTGTAGTGATACACTCGCCTTACTTGTGTGCGGGGAGCATGGGTGTAGATGTGGGTGCGAATGGTTGTTGGTCTCTATATGTGTCCTGCGACTGAATGACGACCAGTTCAAGATGTAGTCGGCCCTCTGGCCGAAGTCAGCTGCGATAGGCTCGAGCACTGCCCCAACGCGACCCTGGACTGGATAAGCGGTGTTGTCAAATTGTGATGGATGGTATTGTCAAATGGAGCAGTAGAATTGAAAAGCACAAGGATAACACAGTCACGACAGTCTGTCGCTACAAAGATGCCGTTAAAAGCCTTTTAAAAGACTGACTAGTCTCTGCAAAATGCAGAAATCGATAACTCAGCTGCTGCAAACACAACTCCTTTGTTGTACTCAACAAGTTATCATTCGAAATCAGTACACAACATTGACTGATTTGCTTCCTTCCACCTGTGCAGGATAGGGAAGCAGTTTGAGCTCACCTTGCTGCTCCAGAGTGTGGTGATGATCCTCACCATGTTGGCGATGCTCCATCTCTGCTGCTCCGTCCAAAACACTAACAGTGTGAGCACCAAGCGGCACCGACTTTCAGGTAACCAGCATGACACCTGAATATTTCAGATACAGTGATGGGAAATAGTGTCGCATGCAACACAACTCCCGCTTCTTGCCAAAAGAGGGGGCTATTGGAAAAGCTTGGAATGTCAAAGCTCTGTCTCAAAAGTCCTCCTCCTTCTCACCGCTTTCCACACATTTTCATTCTTCTTGTTTCTTATTCATCAGTTATTATTGTTTGTTTCAATCTATATGTATGATACAGTGTAGTCTTTTGGTCAATACAAATAGAGAGTGGAATATGCTCTCAGTACAACTGCAAATGGAAGCTTTTGTTATTGTTGATATACACAGTCGGCCATAAATTTCCATAGATTGTCCATCCATCCATGGATTTTTTAATTTGTTTATCCTCACAAGGGTCGCGGGCGTGCTGGAGCCCATCCCAGCTGTCTTCGGGCAGTAGGCAGGGGACACCCTGAACTGGTTGCCAGCCAATCGCAGGGCACACAGAGAGAGACATACAACCATTGGCACACACACACCTAGGGACAATTTAGAGCAGCCTTCCTCAACTGGCGGACCGCGATCCACGACCGGACCGCCGACCTCCTCTGTCCGGACCCTCGGCAAATTGTATAAAATAATAATTTTTACGTTATACATTTTGTATTTGTGGACTATAATCTGCGCATTACCGCGATCGCTTGTTAAAATTATCCGTTGTATTCTTTGCGTGCACTAACAGATGTATTGCAGAGGACCGCAGCAGCGCAACTGTGTGTTGTATAATGTTTGACCAACTGGACACCCAGGCTGAGCAGGGCATGTCGGTGATAACGATGTGCTGATTGGCTCCTTTGAACTTAAGGTGTGCCCATACATAAGCGTCAGCATATACAATGCGCTGATTGGCTCCTCTGAACTTAAGGTGTGCCCATACATAAGCGTCAGCACGCGTCTATCCCAACACACACGCATTCAAAATGGATGATTGTGTCAGGAAACAGACGCATGCGCGACGCCACAGTT